GCTGCAGTACAACCAGCAAAAACTGATGCAACTGTTCATTCCGAGGGGGAAAAAAAAAGGAGGAGGAATAGGAATTAGTTTATTTGAATTTTGGGTCTTAAAGCACATGGCAGAGAGTCTGTTGCTGACAGTCTAGACCAAAACTAGTTGAGGACATTGAATGTTTGGAGTTTGTCATCCTCTTTTTCACTGAGCTGATTATTTTCTCATCTGATTACTTACTCAAGTTTTGTGAGAGACTTTCATTTTATGATTTCCACATACTGCAGAAAATAGTGTCTTGTATATGGACTTGTAGAAAAATCTTCTTAAGAGATGATCTCCCTAATTAGATTAGTAAGTTAATGGCAACCCAATACAATACATTCAAATACAGGGTCAAGAATTTGAGTAACTGAAGTTAGAGTAGTTTTTTCCTCATCTTTCTTATATTAAAATAATTAAATTACATTTTATTCTATCTTGGTCATATGCATTCCACCATATAGTTACTGAGCATAAACTTTGGTATTGCTGTTGTGTTAGTGTTGATGCATGAATCCTATATATATCTCACTTGCTGCAGCCACACCTCTCACAACACACTGGCTGCTCCTCCAGCCACTCCAACAACACAGCAGCCATCACCCAGGCACTTGCCAGACATGCTGCTAAAACACAGAGGAGAGATATTAGCTACTCTGAGGCCTCACTTGCTCTGTACTCAGTCTCACCCCTGGCTGCTCTTCCAGCCACTTGATCCGAATAGGAAGTCCTCACAGTGGAGACCCTCCTCAGTCATACATGCAGGTGTTCCTCATTTGAATCTTCAATGACTGTGCCCGGCGAGGGCGAACTGGGCACTTAGAGCCTCTCTACCTGGGATGGATCTTCTTCTTGCTTGTCTGCCACATTTTGATGGTGTAAGAAAGCTGGGAGGTTCCTCTGGAAATGGAATGCCTCTCCACCCTCAGGCTGGCTTGGTGCAAGGGTGAGTGGCTTGGGGCTCTGCTTCCCCTGCACCCTGTCTACTCACCAATCAAAATAGTCGCCACACCGATCAGGTACTCGGTCATCACGCAGGTTTGACTTAATCTGTTGCACCCCTCCTGGGCTTGGATTAACTCTCTTTCCTGCTTAGTTCAAAGTCTGGGGTAAGTGGCTGAAGCTGCCCTGCTTTGGCTGTCCCCTTTAAAAGGAGGGTAAGTCTGTGGCCACCGCCTCTCTCCACCAGTCCTCCTTGGGTCACACTGGGGTACTCCCTTCTGGGCTGACCCCACTTCCATGGGCAATACAACTACAGAGTAAAAGAAAACCAAAAACTTAAAAAATACCCCAGTGCCTGACATGGTG